ACTCGGACGCTGCGGGGCGTCTCCTCGCCCGCGGGTCGGACAAGGCTGGGTGGGCGGACCCGCCGCGGGACCGCCCCCAAGTCCGAAGACACCTCCCCCGGCCTCCCCGGGGCCAACGCCGGGCGCGCCCACTTCCGGGGCCGAGAGCCCGGGAGGCCCCTTGGGCTCGGCACCCCCAACTTCTCGCGAGACCCTCCCCGGCTTCTCGCGGGACTCCAAGAAGTAACAAAGTTACCTTTGCCTGGCGCCTCGGGAGTTCCAAGATCGAATCCATTGTTTCTCACCTTGGGCCTCCGGATCGCTCCAAGAAGCAGCAGAACGGACCCCAACACATAACCGCAAGAAAACCCACTGGAAATCCAGTGAGAAATTGGTTTACTTTGCGTGGACAACTGTACTGCTTTCAAAGATGTGTGCTACCATCGTTTTTGTCTTGCAGAAGTTGGTTTTCTTAAATACATATAGTACATATACTTAGCTATAGTATATATACGTAAATGTATATATATATATATATATATATAACTTACATATAGCATATATACTATCGTATTTTACTGGAATGGTTTCTAGTCAGGTTATCCACAGTTTTTTTTTTTTTTACTAAATTGTGTTTCATTTCAGCAAAGCCTGAGGTATTGAATTGTATGAACTAATTTGGGATGGAGGTGGTGGTTGGTTGTAACAGGAATGATCTTACTCAAAATATGTGCAGAATGGATTTCCAAGGCGGTAAAGAAGGATGTTGAAGCTCTTCTAATAATCAAGTATAGTACTATACCATGGTCCTGAAATGATAGAAATGAAAAGATTTTTTGTCTCAGAAATCTACAACTAACAACAGCTGAATATAGGACATGACAAAATCTACAAATAACAACTGAATGTAGGACATGATGTTTTAGATTATTTTAGCGGTTACTAGGTACAGCTTAATGCTAAACCAATAGCATGCATGAAGCCCTAGCAGGGGGTGGAGGTGGAGTTGGGGAGGAGTTTAAACTTTATGCAGAGTAATTTAAATAGTATTCGTTGACAGAACAGAATTCCATTGTTTTTGTTAGAACCCGGGACTCCATGGCCTGCCATCCCTGGCTCTTTTCTGTAGTTCATGTCAAAATATTTGACTAGCTTCATAGATCCAAATCTTGGTCTATCAAGATGACAATGATCAAGTAACCTGCTCATACTAGGATATAAAGAACCTGTAAAAGATTTTTTTTTCTATCTTTAAGTGCAGTCTACACTTTTTTTTATTTTTTTTTGGTCGGTCGTGGGGCTTGAACTCGGCCTGGGCTCTGTCCTTCAGCTCTTCAGCTCAAGGCGAACGCTCTACCACTTGAGCTACAGCCACTTCCGGTTTACTGGTGGTTTATTGGAGATAGGAGTCTCACAGTCTCTCCTGCCCCGGCTAGCTTTGAACCGGGATCCTCAGATCTCAGCTTCCTGAGTAGCTAGGATTACAGGCGTGAGCCACCAGCACCCGGCTGCAGTCTACACTTTTAACCACACACACACACACACACACATAAATATGAGTGTATATTTCCCCATATAGCAAACAACTTGTTGTCACTTAACACCTAGGGATTAATTCAATTATGACATTCTCTGCCTACACATTTCAGATTCCTGTTGGGTTAAGGGTTAAGTCCCACAATACTACACTCACTTCAGAAGCCAACTTCAAATCACAGGTGGTGTTGAGTGTTTTGAACCAGCTATAAGGTAGTGTTCTTACAATATGTCCCCTTTGCTATTTCTAGGATGACCCATAGATTCAGAAAAACATGTAGGTTTACCTGTTTTAGGAAAAATAGGTACAGATGGAAGAGATGTTTAGGACAGGTGTTGGGGAAGGGGACACAGAACTTGTCCACTCCTGGTAAATCTATCTGTTAAGCACATAGATGGCCATCAAACCTTATTTTATAAATCTTTTTATAGAGCTTCATCATCAATCTACTCTCCTATTCTCCACTCCTACCCCTTTCTTGAAAATTGGCAGGTGGAATTGAAAGGTCAGATTTTTCTTTTTGTGAAATTTAGGATTGAACTCAGGGCATGGGATAGCAGGCTGACACTCCACCACTGTAGCCACACTGCAGCTCAAGTTCTGAGTTTTTAATCCACTGACCACTTGGACTTGCTGGTAAGCATCTCTTTCTGGGCTATATAGGGCCTACCCATCACCTATTAACTAAGGAATTATATCACTCTTTAAGGAATTACAATAGAGGAATATTGTGAATAACAGCACCAGAAATGCTAAGGGTGTTAGCAACTCTGTGACAGGAATAGAAATAGACAAAAATACCTTTCATATTATGCTAAAGGACTCCTATACTGAGGGTCTGCACAGAGCCTCTGAGAAATGAGGATAACAACACAGACCACTTCAGTGTGCCTCAGGATAGTGTGACCATTAATTTCAGCACTTACAACTTGTTGATTTGATCAGACTATCTGATGGCCTGGTACAGAATTCTGTGCAGTCAGTAAGTCTCACAGAGGATTCTTGAATCCTTTAAGTGTATGGACCACAAATTCTTCTTAACTTTGGATAATTAATGAGCTATTTTATATAAAATGCTGAAAACCATGCTCTGTACATAAGCTTAAAATGATAGCTGTTTTATCTGCAAATTAAATGCGATACCTATCATTATTCCAACCTCATTCTTCAATGAAATAGAAAAAGCAATCCAAAAATTCATATGGAACAATAAAAGACCCTGAATAGCAAAAATGATCCTTAACAGAAAGAATAGTGCTGGAGGAATATCAATACCAAATTTCAAACTCTACTACAAAGCCCTAGTAATCAAAACAGTTTGGTACTGGCACAAGAACAGACCAGAGGACCAATGGAATAGACCTGAAGACCCAGAAATGAACCCACAGACCTATAGTCACCTAATCTTCGATAAGGGAGCTAAAAAAATAGAATGGAAGAAAGATAGCCATTACTTATTCACCTGTAGAAAACTAAAGCTAGATCCTTATATATCACCCTGCACCAGAATCAACTCCAAATGGATCAAAGACCTTGGACTCAAAGCAGACACCCTGGAAACATTACAGAAAGGAATAGGAGAAACCCTAGGTCTCCTTGGCACAGGCTGAAAGTTTCTTAATAGAGACCCAGAAACACAACAAATCAAAGGAAGTTTGGACAAATGGGACTGTATGAAACTGCAGAGCTTCTGTATGGCAAAGGACATAGCTAGCAAGATCAATAGAAAGCCCACGGATTGGGAGAAGATCTTCACTAGCCATACAACGGACAAGGGTCTCACACAGATCTCCACATAGAGCTCCCCTATGACCCAGCAATCCCACTTTGGGGAATTTACCTGAATGATCACAAACAAGACCATAGTAAAGCTACCAGAACAACTATGTTTATTGCAGCATTATTTACCATAGCTAAGATATGGAACCAACCTAGATGCCCCTCAGTAGATGAATGGATCAAGAAAATGTGGTATAAACGCACAATGGAATTCTATGCCTCCATCAGAAAGAATGACATTGCCCCATTTGTTAGGAAATGGAAAGACTTGGAAAAATTATATTAAGTGAAGTAAGCCAGGTGCAAAGAAACATAGATCCCATGGTTTCCCTTATTTGCAATAACTAGTATGTCTTAGACAAGCAGAAAAGGTCAGGTAAGATGATGTTAAGCAAAATGACCCCCAAGATAAGGACACAAGTGGTTTTTTCTTTCTTGCTATTGTTTCTAATGTTTTTGTAAGATACCATGTGTTTTTTTTTTGTTGCTTTGTATGTCCCTCTCCCACAGTATAACCCCTGTTTTCACTGTATTTGATGTCAGTTCCCTGCATCTTGTATATACATATCTCTAATTTGGAGAGGGGAAGGGAACAAACAAAATGCTTAAATAGGGATACAAGTTGACCCATAGTAACAATGAGATGTACAAGACAGTACATTGAAAACGAACTTTACAATTTAGGTGGTGAGGAGAGGAGGAGGGGAGGGGGGAGTGTAGTTGTGGAGGTGGGAGGCAAGGGATGGTAGGGGAAAAACAAAGGAGGAGGCAACAATGCGTGATAGTAAATGTACTCATTACCTTATTCATGTAACTGTAAGCCCTCTGTACAGTATTTTTACATTAAAAAGTATTAAAATAAAAAAATGCTAGCTGTCTTAATTCCCCATTTGCTTCCTCACAAGCCTTTGCCCTTTTAGGGGACAATTACTTTAAATAATGAACTTTTTTTGGGGGGTCCAGTAGTGAGGCTTGAACTCTGGGCCTGGGTACTGTCCCTCAGCTCTTCAGTTCAAGGCTAGCAC